GTAAGGTGGAGGGTCAGATAAAAAGAGGCAGACCCCCAGCTAGATGGGTTGGCAAAGTGACAGTATCAGTGGGCTCAAGCATGGCAAAATAGTCAGGTTGGCCCAGAATCAGGCAGTGATTTGTTCTGTTGTGCATAGGGCCGCTATGAGTTGGTACCGACTCAATGGCACCTAACAACAACAACCATACTTGTAGGAGATAAAGAAGTTTGAAGTGCCAGAGTAACTCCTTGATTTCTCTTCCTGTTGGCCTTCCTCCCTACCTAATGTTCGTGACATGTGTTCTTTATTTTTCTATACCCACATAGTAATTTTGTGCCCTTCCAAGCTACCTTGGGTTTTCTTTTTCAAACTCTTTAGTTATCCCTATCCTATTGCACCCCGAACCCTCTTTTTGGATAGAAGGCAATATTATAAGACAGGAAAATGTCCACTGCTGATTGTTGATGTTATTGTTATTAAGTGCCATCAAGTGGTTCCGATTCATAACAACCTTGACTAGTGTTTCCAAACTGCAGCTGGTTGGTTTGAACCATTAACCTAGCAGTTACTTTCTTGTTAAGTGTCGGCGAGGTGGAGCAGCTGATGGCTTTGAATCACCAGTCTTACAGTTAGCAGTTCAGTGTTTATTTTACAGCACCACTTGCAGGTGAGTTATAATATTGGTGTCATCTAGTGGTGTGGCGCTGTAAGGTAGGCACAGAACTTCTAAAGGTAATTTTGGCAGTTCAAACCCACCAGCCACTCCTGGAAAGCCCTATTATACAAGATCTCTGTGAGTGGGAACTTAAGCAGCAACAAGCATTGATCTTGTTTGTTTGTTTTTCTGGTTTACTCTCATTAAAGACCCTGAACGAGATGAGTTGCCACAGGGATGAAAACGATGGATTGAAGCGTAGAAGTGACTGTAAGGGAGGTGCAGACCCAGGCAGTGTTTCTTTCTGTTGTACATGTTGGGTCACTATGAGTTGGGACTGACTCCCTGGCACCTAACAACAGCCATTCAATTTACTAATGTTGCTTTCTTTTATAAAATGCATCTTAAGTAGCATTTTGGTAACTTGATTTTATGTATCTTTCTTATATTAATAAAGATGCAAAGTTAATATTTTGAAAGATAAAATGCTTATTAATTTGCTGCACTGCAAAGTTGGTTTGAGCCACAAAGCCGCTCCTTGGAAGTCCTATACAGGGCCTCTGTGGGTTGGAACCAACTTGATGGCCCTAACAACAACTGCATTAAAAGGAAGGCATAGTTTACTTTTTTGAATTTCTTTCCTGAGTGTCTGCACACTTGGACTTCCCTATAGTGTTTTCCATCTTTCACTTGCATTGTGACCACAGACATCTTTGTTTTGCCTGTTTCTCCTTCTTCATTACATGGGATCCCCTATCCCACCTGCCCAATAAAATACCTTTAATTCTTCCATAAGTCTGAAGTTAGAATACCCCATGCTTTTTGCATAATTGCCACACACTTTGAAATAATCTAAAACTTAACATGATGAATCCTTAAAGCCATACACGTTTGCTTTTTTATTATTTCGGAGTTCCTATATCTAAAGAATTCCATTGAGAGTTTGACATACAGATCTCTTTTTACAATACTGTTTACTTACAATTTTAGAGCCATTGAGCCTTTTTTACCTGTGTAACTATAAATCTAAATATACTTAGGAAGCTAGATCACAGTATTTGATGCAGTTGATACTAATCTTACTTTATAATTGCTTTTCTGTAAGTATTCTGCCTCTAGAAAATGGAATAGTCATACTATTTTATTAAAAATTCAGATTCTTTTGTATGTTAGTAGAATTATATTAACTTCTTTAAAAGGCTTAATTTCTTAGGCTGAAAAAAATATAATTCTTTTGATAATGTATGACTTTAGGACACTTACCGAAGAAGACAGATGCAGCGGACGATTACTCGGCAGATGTCTTTCGATCTGACGAAGCTGTTGGTCACTGAGGACTGGTTCAGTGACATAAGCCCTCAGACCATGAGAAGATTACTGAATATTGTTTCTCTGACTGGTAACTCTTGCTTCTTACTGTTTTGGAATAAATACAAAGCTTTGACATTAGCGAAGCAGTTTATTTTCAGACACAATTGAATACAGTGTATTTGTATATTTACATTGTTCATACTAATTTGATTTGTATGTAGTGTATCTAACACCGAAAATCAGCCAGCAATTGTACACTGTTATTTTAAATCATAATGATCTTTCAAATTTATCATTTCATCTCAGGTGTAAATTTTCTCTCTTGTCTAAAAATAATTTTATGCTAACGTGTACAGCTGAGTATAACTGACCTACCATTTAAAATGTTGAAATTCAGATTTTTGTGGCACCATGAGATAATGCATTGGACCACAAGATTGGTTTGAATTGCAAAATAGGCAGTTCAAATTCACCAGCCATTCCTGGGAAACCCCATACAGGGTTTCTATGAGTCAGAACTGACTCAATGGCACTTAACAACTACAACATTCTTTTTTAGTTTCATGCAATATTTTGAAAAAGAAATATTGGCAATGCAATTTAGGTTTATTATCCTACAACTGAATTCCTTACATGAAAATTTCCCACAGTAATGATTGTGGTTTTCTACTACCATTAGTTACTTGCTAATTATTGTCTTGAGACAGTCATATAGGTACTTGTGATTTATTTTGTGAAATCTATGTCATTTTCTTTGGATGCTGTTGATTGGTGCTAGATAATATTGACTAATATTAATTCTGTTAGGATCATTGTAGCGGAATTGTGTTTTAATATTAACGTTGTGGCTCATTCTCTAGAATCATATTGTAAATGGGATTGCTTGCCATTAAATTCCTCTAAATGAGGCCCTAGACCTAATTTTCTTATGTACTATAATGGAAATGTTTAAGTGTACTATCAATAGCATTTATGTACTCATCTAACAAATGTATAAGGAGCTCTGGTAGCGTAGTGGTTACGAATTGGGATGTGGACCTTAAGGCCAGCAGTTCTAAACTACCATATGTTCTGCGGGAAAAAGATGAGGCGTTCTGCTCCCGTAAAGATTTACAGCCTCAGAAACCCTGCACAGGGTCGCTATGGGTCGGAAACGACTCGACGGCACTTAACAACAACAACAACAAATGTATACTGAGTGTCTAATATATATACCATATATTGCTCAATGTATTGTAAAGATAAAGCAGAGAGCAAGATATAGTCTTTGCCCTGTTAAGAGACAAAAATATATAATGTCATATAATGGTAAATAGGAGTCCTGGTATGGTGCTGTGGGTTATGTGCTGTGGGTTAATGTCTACATCTAATGGTTATCTAGCATATTTCTGAAACTTAACATGTCACAGTGCAGTGTCAGTGGTTCAAGCTCACCAACTTTTTCTTGGAAACCTTATATAGAGTCACTATGGGTCGGAACCAACTCGACAACACTTAACAACAGCAATGATAAATGCCATTAAAAATTTAACAGTGAAAAGAAGATTTTACTTCCTCCTCCCCAAACTAATTTGAAATTATTTCCATAAACCCACAAACGTATTGTTTCTCCGGTCTAGGGGCTAAACCATAAAACCTATTTTGACTCCAACTTTAAATATTGTCTTATTGATCAGCAAAACACCTTGAAAAATATGTCTATCCCTGTGACTCAAATTCTTCTCCCTCTAGTCCTTCTTATAACTACTCCAATAACCTTTGTCATCAGTACTTCAACTAAACTCTGTTTTCAAGATAACTTCCATGTTATAAAATTCAGTGGCCAATTCTTTGTCCTCGTCTTATAGCAGCATTTGACAATATGTTGAACACTCCATTTGTTGAAAATAATATATTTGGCTTTCATAATGTCACACTCACTAAATTTTCCTTCTACCACACTGTTGATTATTCCTTTTCTACTATTGTCATTTAGCATTGGAATGCTTTTGACTCTTAGTCCTTGGATCGTTCCTTTTCTTTTAGACTTGTTCCCTTTATGATCCCATTTAGTCTCAAAGTTTTCAGTACCCCTTATATGTTGAAGAATGCCATATGTCTGTGTCAGCCTTATAGCTGTCTAGTTGCCTCTACATCTAATGGTATCTAGCATATTTCTGAAACTTACCATGTCCCAAACTTACTCCACTCATGGTCTTTCCCATCTCAGTTAATCGAAGTATTTTTCTAAGTTCCTTGAGCTAAAAATCTAGAAGCCTTTCTTCATTTTATACACCAACGCTAGTCTGTTAGCTGACTGTCAGTAGTAACTAACAACAATCTTCAGAAGATTTACAGAATCAGACCATTTCTACTCTAACACACAATTACATCTCACTTGCATTAATTATTACAATAACCTTCTAGCTGATTTCCCTTCTCTTGTCCTATTCTCTCCTCATAAAGTAGCCACTGTCAGCCTTTTAAAGTAGAAGTCAGTCATGTTATTTTTGTACTCCAAATGTGGTCAAATAAATACCTATGTTACCTACAAGTCTCTTTATGAGCAGTCTCTCTTCACTCCTGCTTCCCACCTCAGACCTGATCTGCGCCTCTCCTTCATCCCGTACTGCTTTCTTTGCTGTTTGCTGAAAATTCCAGGTGTGCTACTACTTCAGGGCCTCTGCACTTGTTACTTCTTCTGCCTGTAATGACCCTTCTTTGCATGTATGCGTAATGGGTTTTCTCACCTGCTGTATGTTTTTGCTTAAATATTAGCTTTTCAATGAGACCTTCCCTCACTATCTTATATAAAATTATGGCTCTCTCTCTGGCACACCTTGATCTGTTCTCTGTTTTATTTTACTACATAGAGCTTACCACCTTCTTATGCTCCATATTATTTACCTGCTTATTTTTTTGTATGATCAGTGGAATATAAGAACCACATAGGCAAGAGATTTTGTTTGTCTTGTATATTATATTGTAATTTCTTCAGTACCCAGAACAGTGTTTAGGATATTACTGAATATATAAGAAAACTGATTGAAGTGATAACTAATACTTATAAATATCTTGACAAAAGCATTCTAAGCAGAAGGAACAGTAAGTATAGAGACCCTGAAATAGGATTGTATGAACAGCTGGAGGCCAGTATGGTTGAAGTTTGGGAAACAAAAGGGAGATACTGGGTAGCTGGTTAGTACATTGTATGCCTTACAGACCACACCTTCATGATAGGGACTATGGATTCAGCTCAGATATATTCAGGCAAATATATATATTTTTTGTTGTTAGGTCAGTTCCAATGCATAGCAACCCTGTGCACAACAGAGCACAATACTGCCTGGTACTGTGCCATCCTCAAAATTATTGTTGTACTTGAGCCCATTCCTGCTGCCCTTGTGTCAAATCTATCTTGCCATTGTGCTAAATCCATCTTGTTGGGGAGTTTCCTCTTTTTCGCTAACCCTCCACTTTACCAAGCATGATGTTCTTCTCTAGGACTGGTCCATGCTAATAATATGTCCAAATGGTGAGAGATGAACTCTTGCCTTCCTGGCTTCTAAGGAGCATTCTGGTGTATATCTTCCAACATAGATTTGTTTGGTCTTCTGGCAGTCCATGGTACTTTTAATATTCTTTTCCAACAGATAACTTTATTTATAACTCAGATGAATAAATCCTTCTACAGTTTACATTATTCATTTCCCAACTTTCACATGCACATGAGGCTATTGAAAATATCATGGTTTGGGTCAGGCACATCTTAGTCCTCTAACACTCAAGTATTTCGTCTTGAACACTTTAAAGAGGTCTTGTGCAGCAGTTTTGCCTAATGCAATGAACTGTTGTTGTTAGTGCTATCGAGTAAGTTTGACTTATAGGGACATTGTATAGGGTTTTTGAGGCTATAGATCTTTGTGTGAGCAGGAAGTCATATTTCTCCTGTGTAGTGACTGGTGGGCTTTAAACTGCCAAACTTGTAGCAGAAAATCCCAGCAGTGGACAAAAAGACAGGTTTTTATTTTATAAATAAATATATATATGTATATTGTTGTTGTTGTTGAGTGCCGTCGAGTCAGTTCCAACCCATAACGACCCTGTACAGGGTTTCCGAGGCTGTAAATCTTTATGGGAGCAGAAAGCATCATCTTTCTTTTGCAGAGCGGCTGGTAGTTTTGAACTGCTGACCTTGCGGTTCGCAGCCTGATTCGTAACCACTACGCTACCAGAGCTCCTTGTTGTTGTTGTTATGTGCCGTGGAATCAGTTCCGACTCTTAGCGACCCTGTAAATCTTTACGGGAGCAGAAAGCCTCATCTTTCTCCCATGGAACAGCTGTGGTGCTGTAGGATCATCACTGGGCTGCTAACTACAAAGCTGGTGGTTCAAACCCACTAGTCGCTCCTTGAAAAGCCTATACAGAGTCGATATGAGTCAGAACCGACTTGATGGCACTTAACAACAACAACAACATATGTATAATAAAGTTTAGAAACACACTGTAACTCACTTGGTAGGTTACTTGCATAGGCAGCCTGTAGTACATAAAAATGGAAGTGTGCCAGTGTTCACATTCACCCATAAAAACCAAAGACTGAACTAGTATACGTGGGGCCCATTATGAGTAAATCAGTGTTCTCCTGTCTGACGTATACAGTATCTGGCACAGTAAATTCTGGAAAATTTTTGTATGCGTTTATATTCTAAAAGCAGTGTATATAGATAGGACCATGACAAACTTCACATATGCAAACCTACATAAATTACTGTAGAATTGAACAGAATTGTATCTAAATCTTACAGCACTTTGGATTATAGAAACAATGTAAATGCTGGGTTCCAATTTGTAGCATAAATTAAATGCTGAATTTTGCAGATTTGAAGTTATTTTTTGTGTGTCTGAATTTGCTAATGTTTAACATAGTAGTACTCATCTAATCATTTTTATGTTTTGTTTTTCTTAAAGGACGATTACTGAGAGCCAATCAGATTAGTTTCAATTGGGATCGGCTTGCTAGCTGGATCAACCTTACTGAACAGTGGCCGTACCGAACTTCATGGCTCATATTGTATTTGGAAGAGACTGAAGGTGTTCCAGACCAAATGACATTAAAAACCATATATGAAAGGTATTTATCTGACTTATTTCTATTTAACTTTCTCTTTGGGTTAAGTTAGCATTTCATAAAAAATTAATGCATATTAAACAAAATTAATACATATGAATATGAACAAAGTATATGTTTCCAGATTAAATTAAATAAATAATTCTAATTATTTTCCATGATGACTTTGGAGTTGTATTATCACAAGTATATATTTTACCATGTAAACTGTATGGCTTTATTTGGACATACCCTTTCTTTTTTAGTATGCAACCTATGTACTAAATAATGTCTAATTATTAGTTGTATTGGTTTTATGTATTTATATGTGTAGAATGCACACATTATAGTATTATTTATTTCCATTTAATCTGGTATACTACAGATCCTCATATATTAAAGAAGCTACATATTCCAAGTCATTAGTGCAAATATTTTATATAGCTTTCTATCTGGAAGATTTCTAACTAAAAATTGTGAATACTGGCTGAAACATTTAATTTTTTTACATTAAACAGTAAGGGAATTATTATTCTTTCATAGTACAGTATTTGAAGTACTTTTAAACTTCTACTTCTGATAAAAATAGTTAATTTTTTCTTGAAAGATGTGCCATTGTTGTTGTTGTTGTTAAGTGCCTTCGAGTCGGAGCCGACCCATAGCGACCCTGTACAGGGTTTCCGAGGGTGTAAATCCTTACGGGAGTAGAAAGCCTCATCTTTCTCCCGCGGAGCGGCTGGTAGTTTCGAACCACTGACCTTAAGGTTCGCAGCCCGATTCGTAACCACTACGCTACCAGAGCTCCTTGTGCGTTTTAATAGTTGTCAATTTTTTGTCAAATTCACAAATAGTTATGATCCAATATTATAAGAATATTTTGATATCTTCTAAAGTTTTTATTGCTACTATAAATAAGCTATCTCCTAGAAAAAAAGATAATACAAATGAACTTTATAAACAAGTATATAAAATTGAATGTAACCAGAACTGCTATTTAGAATGTATAATGAGATAGCTAAATGTAACAAAGTATTGAGTCTAGATAAACTCATATATTAAACTTTGACATTTTAATTTTTCTTCCCTTAGAGTATTGTCATAATATGGTTTTCTTTGTTTTCCAATCCTCGTTTTTCATGCATGTTTTACTTAATGTTTTCTAGATAAATAAAACACGGTTTTAAAATGGAATCTTTTTTTTTTTTTTTTTTTTTACCAGAAGTAGAGATTTGTTAAGTACTAGATTTCATACAAAAGAATAAGTCCTTTTGTGTTTAATGCAGTTAACGGACTGTTTGCTGCGTTAATTCACAGTTGTGTTCTTCTAGTTTTTGCTAAATGCAGTGTGTGCATGTGTTCTATCAAGGATATGGTCCAGTAGGTGGCAGTGATGCACACTTACCATAATACTCCCTGAATTGCAGCTGCTCTTTGATATTTTAGAAATCCTCTTCTTATTACTGGATCTGTGATTGGTTCCTTCCTTGGTTGTTTAGTAAAATAGTCTTTTATTTCATGAATAAATGTTTGTATTCTAACACAGGTGGTTGGTAGTTATGAATACTTGCCAGATACGTATAATCATTTTACAGAGCTCCATCCTAAATTTTATAAGTTTTAGCTGCTTAATAATTCATACCAATATGATGAGAGATGTTTTTCCCATGGTGTATTTATACATTAAAGTGCCATTTAACATAAACAGGTTAGTACTTGGCACTCTCATTTTATTCTTGAAAAAAATATATTGTTATTATATATATGTGAAAACCTCCACAAATAACAGCAATGTATTTCTCACGGACAATATGAGAGTGTAAAATATTAACCTGTATATGTGAAATAGTGCTTTAATGTGTAAACATACCATGTGGAATATATATTGCATTATTATTTGTATATATGTGACAACATCCACTCAGTTTGTCGTACTGTGGTGACTTACATGATGCTGTGATGCTGGAATCCTGCCACTGGTATTTTAAATAACAACATGATCACCCATGACAGACTGGTTTCATAGGAGCTTTCAGACTGACTACTTGTGAGTGGTTAGCCGCTACAAACCTTATGAATATCAGCTGCACATTGTCAGATAACAGTGCCCCAAGATGAGCCCCTCAAGTTGGAAGGCACTCAAAATGCTACTAGGAAAGAGCTACCGCCTCAAATTAGAGTTGTCTGTAAGGACATGAATGGAGCAAAGCTTTAGGGACCTTCATTTACTGATGGGGCATATCTCAAAATGAGGAGAAACAACCGCAAACATCCATTAATAATTGTTTTCTGAGGCTGTAAATCTTTACGGGAGCAGAAAGCTTCTGAAATATATGAAGTATGAATCTAGGAAAATTGCAGGTTGTCACCAATGAAATGGAATACATGAAGATTGATATCCTAGGCATTAGTGAGCTGAAATGGACTGGTATGGGCCATTTTGAATCTGAAAATCATATGGTTTACTATGCTGGGAAAAACACATTCATTGTCAAAAAGAACATTTCAAGATCTGTCTTGAAGTACAGTGCTTTCTGTGATAGTATAAAATTCATACACCTACTAGGAAGACCAGTTAATACCACTATTATTCGAAATGATGCACTAACCACTAAAGGTGGTGATGGTCAAATTGAATGCTTCTACTTCAGTTACAAACTGATCAAACATGCACTCAAGATGCATTGGTACTTGTCCACGCTGCACTGAGGACATTGATGGAAAATAAGGCTCCAGGAACTGATGGAATATAAATTGAAATCTTCCAACAAAATTGATACAGTTATCTGGCCAACTGAGTGGAAGAGATTCATATTTGTGTCCATTCCAAATAAATGTGGGAATTGTACATAAAGCAATATTACATGGAAGTAAACATTTGCTGGAGATAATTCAAAAAACAAAACAGTTGCAGCAGTACATTGACAGGGATCTGCCGGAAATTTAAGTCAGTTTCAGAATAGGACATGGAACAAGGGATATCATTGCTGACTTCAAATAGATCTTGGCTGGAAGCAGAGAATACCAGAAAAATGCTTACTTGTGCTTTATTGACAGTGCAAAGTCTTTTGACTGTGGATCATGACAAATTATGGATAACTTTGCAAAGGATGAGTATGCCAGCACACTTAATTGTGCTCATGAGGAATGTGTACCTAGTCCAACAGCCAGTTGTTAGAACTGAACAAGGGGTTACTGAATAGTGTAAAATTAGAAAAGGTATACACCACAGTTGTATTCTTTCTTCTTGTTGTTGTTATGTGCTGTGGAGTCGGTTCTGACTCATAGCGAGCCTGTATAGAGTTTCTGAAGCTGTAAGTCTTTATAGGAGCAGAAAGCCTCACCTTTCTCCCACGGAACAGCTGGTAGTTTCAAACTGCTGACCTTAAGGTTCGCAGCACAATTCGTAACCACTATGCTACCAAAGTTGTATTCTTACACCATACTTATTCAATGTATATTCTGAGCACATAGTCTGAGAAGCTGGATTATATGAAGAAGAACATGGCATCAGGATCAGAGGAAGTCTCATTAACCTGTGATATGCAAATGATACAACCTTGCTTCCTGGAAGTGAAGAGGACTTAAAATATGCACCGATGAAGATAAAGGTTATATCGGTACGGGTGGCACCACAGTGTCAAGAAAACAAAAATCCTCACAACTGGACCAATGAATAACATCATGAAAAATGGGGGAAAGTTTGAAGTTGTCAGTGACTTCATTTTGCTTGGATCCACAATCAGTACTCATGAAAATAGCAATCAAGAAATCAAACAATGTATTGCATTAAGCAGATCTGCTGCAAAAGTGCAAAGATACCAGTATGAAGATTGACATGGGCCTGAGCATGGTATTACCAGAACAAACAAATCTGCCTTGGAATAAGTACAGCCAGAATGCTCCTTAGAAGCCGTTCAGTCAGTTCTGACTCATAGCAACTCAATGGGACAAACTAGGACCGCTCCTTAGGGTTTCTGAGACTAAATGTTTATGGGAGCAGACAGCCTCATCTTTCTTCCATGGAGTGGCTGGTGTGTTTGAACCACCAACCTTTCTGTTAGCAGCTCATTGTTTAGCTCAGAATCACTAGGACTCTGTAGTACGTGTTATTGTTGTTGGCATTGAGTCAGTTCCAAGTCGGAGTGACTCTTTATGTGGTTTCCAAGTAGCAGTTTGTGGATTTGAATGGCCAGTTTTGCAGTTAGCAGTCCAGTATTTGTCTAGACTTCTAAATGTTAAAATATGTATACAGAATACAAAGTAATACAAAATTATAACCTTCGGTATGGATTGCATCTCAATGTAAAGAAGACAAAAATCCTCACCACTGGGCCAATAAACAGCATTCTTATCAATGGAGAAAAGATTGAAGTTGTCAAGGACCTGATTCTTCTTGGATCAACTATTAACACTCACGGAAGCAGCAGTCAAGAAATCAAATGCCATATTGCACTAGGCAAATCTGCTGCACAAGACCTTTTTAAAGTGTTGAAGAGCAAAGATGTCAGCTTGAGGACTAAGGTGTGCCTGACCCAAGCCGTGGTATTTTCAGTAACCTCACATGCATGTGAAAGTTGAACAGTGAATAAGGAAGACTGTTGAAGAATTGATGCTTTTGAGTTATGGTGTTGGAGGAGAATATTTATAGTGCCATGGGCTGCCCATAGAACCAACAGATCTGTATTGGAAGAAGTGCAGCCAGGGTGCTCCTTGGATGCCAAGATGGCCAAACTTTGTCTCTCATACTTCAGACATATTGTCAGGAGGGACCATTCTCTGGAGAAGGATATCATGTTTGGTAAGGTGGGGGGTCAGAGAAAAGGAGGAAGACCTTCAACGAGATGGATTGGCCAAGTGGCAGCATCAGTGGGCTCAAGCATGGCAACAATAGTGAGGTTGGCCCAGGATTGGGCAGTGTTTCATTCTGCTGTGTATAAGGTCACTATGAGTCAGTACAAACTCAATGACACCTAACAACATGTACTAGGAGTCCTGGTTGATAAGTGCCGACCTTGCAGTTCAAA